TATCGCTAAACAATGCTTTCTACCTATACATAGATGTGTGAAAGTAAACAAAAGTCTTGGTAACAAAAAAATGAAATGAAAACCTAGTGATCAAAGTTAATAATCACTTCAAGTATCAAAATGAATTCAGAAAAATGTTTGTCAACTTATATACATTCATTTAAATGTTTTTTAACCATCAAAATAGGTACAGTCAATAAATAATATATACAAAAAAACATATTTGAAATTATAACCGAGAGAAAAACTTTTTTGTGTTAATTTAAATGTTCACAACATGTTTTGCTCTAATAAACAACAAACCACATTTTGTGGCTACCATTTTTTTAGGTACATTGGTTTGCTTATGCTAGTTTTTTTTGTGTTTCCAAATGTTTCAACAAATTGTTTGATCTAAACATACAAAACAAACAATTAATGTCATAACTTTTCTCTAGGGCTATCTTTTTTTTTTTAATCTAAAGTTTGGTAATAATAGAAATCTTTACCTTTTACCAAAATGTTGTAATAAACATTTTCTCCCTCCAAAATAATAGTTGTTTTACGGTTTACAAATGAAAAAACATTATTTTTAAAAAATGTCCACATTACACAAACAACTGAACAAGTTAGTTAATATCCAACATTTGTCTGTAAATCTTACCAACATTTCTGAACATAGTTAACTATAATAATAAACATAGTTAACTATATATATATATTGTCTATCATTACAAAAAAAAAAAGTGTGTAGCATCATTTATTTTGTTTGTTTAAATCAATTATAAATGATGCAAATATATTTTTTATCATTTATGTAAGCGACTCTAAAAATAGTGATGCAAATATTAACATCAATTAAAAAGACCGATACACATATTTTCATCATTTATATTGCATCGATTTAAAAAATTGATGGTAATATTTACATCGGTTTAATAATTGATGTCAAATATTTTTTTATCAATTAAATAAAAATTAATTTCGAAAATATTATAAATGGATTATAATTTAAAACTAATCGTAAGTGAATTTTTTACTTAAGGTAATATTTATTTACCTTTAAATAAGCTATCCAAAATTAAAGTCAATGTTGAATTTTGACAACAATATATAATTGAGGGAGTTTCGTTATTTATAGGAGTAGAATCTTCTTACCTCCACCTTTAATTATCGATGTGAGATTTACAAAAGTAAACAAATGATTTATTAAAAATGTGTTAGCATCAATTTTTTAGTGACATAAATTTTACAATCATTTTTTTAAATGATGCTAACCAAATTTGATAATTACGTTGGTTAAATAAGGACTATAAATCAATATTTATATGTCAATTTTTTTTAAGTGAAACAAATTAATATGGATTTGTATCAATAGTATTAAACCGATGTTAAACACGTCAAAAACAATATCAATTACTACGATTGATGTTAAGTCACATGTTTTGTATCATTTACTTAATAAATGATTTAATATTATATCATTTAGGTTTTTGATACTTTTTAAATGATGTAAAACACTACTTTTTGTGTAGTGTATCAACATTGGTGAATATATTGAGCAAAATTTAGAATTTGCCAATAATCGAAATGTTTACCTTCTACACAATCTGGATCATATCTTAAATGTCATAATAATACTTTTTTGGCTCCAG